TACAAAGGAACTATGCATACTCTCTGCCAATCCCAAGGAACCTTCCCCTTTTCATACATTTATTGAAAGCATCAACCACTCCAAAACTATATCCCCACCTACTTTTAACCCTTTGAGGGTTTTCGTCGTACTAGTACGTCTTATGCGTAGGGGTTTTTGACGTACTAGTACTCATAAATTCTAGCAACCTCAAATCTAGTGGGAGAAAGCTGGTAGGCCTTCATATTAAAGAATGGGTCTATGTGGTCAGTGTGCACAGTCTAAAAAAAATCCTGCAGCACACGGTGCATAATGAGAAAAAAAAAACTTTTTCCATTTTTTTTTAATAAATCAGCGACTTTGCAGTGTATTTTCGTATAGTATTTATTGTTGTATTCTAGTTTTCTTGGTCTCATTTTATAGAATGGAAGACATATTACTGAAATTGAGATGATTTTGACTGGTTTTACAATGAAAGGTGCCTTGAAATTGAGCTCAAAGTAGCAGAAATGTTCGATTTTTACCAAACTTCAAAAGTAAACAAATCGTGCCAAGCGTGCAATACACGTCAACTGGTGAGTCTAATATTCTTTCACAAGTGCACCAATAATATTTATACCATTTTTTACACTAATGCAGTAGTCTGCATAACAGTAAATCTTATATTTTTTGTGAGAATAAAAATTCAAAGTGGAAAGCAAAAGAATATAAGAGGGGCCTTGAGACGTGACTAATGACTAGAGGAAATGTCATTTTAGTGCCAGGAATGTATTTCTTGTTTATTCTGGACCCTATTCCGAAATTGGCATCTTTTGAAATTTGTGTGAAATTGGCAAAATTGCTAAATTCTGACCACTGTACTGGATAGTTGAATTTATAAATGGGTGGTTTCTTGCACCCATTCGATAGAAAAAATGGAGTTCGAGCGAAATATTCATGTTTTTTGTCGACTAGTACAGTGAAATTGGCCGAAAATGGGGCTCAAAGTGGGCAAAATCGCCGATCCGTAAACATCGCCGAGACCGCTAACTTTGCGAGAGCATAATTCCGTAAGTTTTCTATCAAATTTCAAACTTTCGGTGTCGTTATGATCGGGAAAAGATTCTCTATCTTTTCATAAGAGAAAATAATTTTTTTTTTTTTTTAAATTTGGCCGACCCTGAGAACGAGTTTCGGAGAGGGCCTGTCGACCCTCAAAGGGTTAATATCTGTCTTGATCCCATCAATCCCAGCTGCTTTACCCCCTTTCATTCTACCCATAGCTTCATGTGCCTTCCCCACACTCTCATCTGGCTCTTCCCCCATTCTTAAAAGACATTACACCTCCCTGGCCACTGCACAAAATCACAGCTTTCCTATCTTCATCAAGGTTTAGCAGTTCCTCAAAATACTCCCTCCATCTTCCCAACACCTCCAACTCTCCATTTAATAACTCTCCTCTTCCATTTCTAACTGTCAAATCCATTCGTTCTCTAGGCTTTCTCAACTTATTAATATTACTCCAAAACTTTTTCTTATTCTCAGCCAAATTTGCTGACAGCATCTCACCCACTCTCTCATCTGCTCTCCTTTTACATTCCTTCCACTCTGTTAACCTCTCTTTTTGTCTCTTCATAAAAAAACTCTGTGCTAACTTTTTCTCTCTTACTACTCCCTTTACCTCTTCATTCTACCAATCGCTCCTCTTCCGTCCTGCACCTACCCTCCTATATCCACAAACTTCTGCTGAACACTAACAATACATTCTTAAAATTACTCCATACCTCTTCAACCTCAATGCCTACTCTCACTAGGCCATTTTCCTACCAATAGTTGCTTTTGTCTTACCCTAATTGCCTCCTCTAGTTTATAAACCTTCACCTCTCTCTCTGTCTCTTACTGTCTGATACCATTCTCCTAGTATCCCATTTAGCTTTTACTATCACTGTAGCCACAACTAAAAATGATCTGCTATATCTGTTGCCCCTCTATAAACATGCACACCTTGAAGTCTATCCATCAGCCTTTTATCCACCAATACACAGTCCAACAAACTACTGACATTATGCCCTATATCATATCTCATATACTTATTTATCCTCTTTTTCCTAAAATATGATAGTGAAAGTGTTGAATGATGGTGAAAGTGTTTCTTTTTTGGGTCACCTTGCCTCGGGAATAAATAAAGAGAATGTAAATAATGTGTCAAAAATATCTAACCAAGACGGGACTTGCAGCAATGGTTTCAAGTTGGAAAAATTTAAATTCGTAAAGGGTACAGGTAAACATTGGCTTGATAATAGAGTTGTGGACAAATGTGTTAGATAAATACATGAGTGACTGAGAGTTGGTGCCTCACATGGGCCAGTAGGCCTGCTGCAGTGCTCCTTTGTTCCAATTACCAAACTTCTTTCTATACAACATTCAATCAAAGGCCCTCCCCCCATTAACATTTACCCAACACCCTAAACTTACCTGCCACACCCTCTATAACCATTTCTCCCACTTTAGCATTCAGGCTCTGTACCACAATTACTCTCTCACTTGGTTCAGAACTCCCTAAACACCCACTTAACATCCCCCATGCCAAAATCAATCAATGTCTCTCTCTTTCTCTCGCTTCTCCAGGTGCATAAACACTTATTATAACACACTTTTTGAAGCTGACCCTTATTGTAATCCACATAATCCTTAAATTTATACATTTATTCACTGTATTCCCTCTTCTCTTTCCATAACTGCCATTTCAACATTATTTATACCCCTTCCTCAGCTCTCTCTCAGATACTAGGTATTGTATTTCAACTTCAGCTGCTGAAGCAGAATTAATGAAAAATCACTCGAGATAATATTAGCCACCTAACCAGTATGAATGCGAATATGACGCTTCAGATTGTATGGGGCAATTGTACTGTACTGACAATGTGGACATGAATATGGTTTGTCTCCAGTGTGTGTAAGCATATGCCTTCGAAGACAGGTTGTGTACATTGTACTATAACTGCAGAAGGAACACTTGTGTAGCTTCCTCCTTGGAATGCTGTCCTTCCCTGTCCAGACTCTTGGTAGCTGCTCTCCAGCCGCCCTCACACCATGAACGTCAAGCCCCACCTGTAGGGGACGCCCACTTTGAATAAGCAGTCCCAACCATTAAGTACCAACCAAGCACACAGCAGAAGCACATTGTACTTAGGAAGAATAATGTGATATGTGCTATCACCATATTTTTCCAATGATATATACTTTCACCATATTTTTCCAATGATATGTACTTTCACCATATTTTCCACCTACTTTTACAATGATGCTTTCCAGCACATTTATGATAATAAAAAAAAAGAACAATTTAAAGCAATATTCCGAGTATCTCAGACCAAAAAAAAAAGTGTAAATTGAGGAGCTAGGAACATTTAGAAATTTTTAGATGGTTAACCTGTACTGTATGCATAGGTTGCTGTACAAAAATTTTTGCTGAGGGAGCAAGCCCCACTAATTGCAAATGGCAGTATGAACAACCCTGAGGGTTTGAATAATGGAAAAATAGTGGTAAAAACAGATAAATTTAAAAAATGCAATAATTGGCAACAAATGAAAAAGATGTACACCATGACATAAAAAAAACAGGAAATACCAAAAGAGAAAACAAAATTAATGAAAGCACATAACAGAGAGGTGAGAACCTTTTAAGCCTGGTCAGTGTGCAGAAACTGAAAAAAATGTACCACTAATGAAAGTAACAGGATTTAAGATTAGAGTAGAGAAGATAAGAGTAAATACACAAGCTATTCATATATAATACTGAAAGATATGTTTAGAATTCAAACTATAAAAATGGTAGTGAGGAAAAAATATAATGACACTTAGGACTGAGACAAGTAGGAAGAAAAATTAATTGAAAAAGTCAAATAACCACTGTAATGATTTTAATCAAGGTGAACATGTGCTAGGAGTTATGAAGATACATAATGTTAATGAAACAAGAAAATGAAAAGAATAAAACTTGAAAATGTCTCCAAAACTGCTGTTCAGATTAACCCTTTGACTGTTTTGGTCGTACATATACGTCTTACGAGCCACCGTTTTTTGAAGTATATATACTCAAATTCTAGCGGCTTCAAATCAAGAAGGAGAAAGCTGGTAGGCCCACATGTGAGAGAATGGGTCTGTCTGGTCAGTGTGCACCATATAAAAAAAAATCCTGCAGCATGCAGTGCATAATGAGGATAAAAAAAACTACGACCGTTTTTTTTAATTAAAATGCCGATTTTGTGGTCTCATTTTCGTATAGTATTTATGGTTGTATTCTCGTCTTCTTGGTCTCATTCGAAAGAATGGAAAACATGTTATAAGAAATAGAGATGATTTTGATTGGTTTAACTATGAAAAGAGCCTTGAAATGGAGCTCAAAGTAGGGGAAATGTTTGATTTTTGCCGATGTTCAAAAGTAAACAAATGATGTCATTTTCCAATAAATGTCCAAGTAGCCATTCTAATATGCAGTCATGAATGGGTTGACATTATTTATACAATTATTACAATATTGCAATAGTCTACATAACAGTAAATCTTCTATTTTTTGTTTGAATAAAAACCTCAAAATAGAAAGCAAGAGTAATATCAGAGGGGCCTGCAGGCATGACTGATGAACAAAGAAAATATTATTTTAGAGCCAGGAATGTCTGCATTGTTCATTCTGGACCCTATTTTGAAATTCTCATATTTTTTTAATTTTCGTGAAATTGGCCAAATTGCAAATTTCTGACCACGTTATTGGGTAGTTGAAATCAGTAAATGGGCAGTTTCTTGTACTGAATCAATAGAAAAAATGGAGTTCTAAAGAAATAGGTATGAGTTTGGTCGACTGGAACAATGGAATTAGCCGAAAATAGGGCTCAAAGTGGGCAAAATCGCCGATTCGTAAACATCACCGAGGTCACTAACTTCGTGAGAGCGTAATTCAGTCAGTTTGTAATCATTTATCATTAAAAATTTTATTAACAGGCTTGAAATCGTACAGTTCTTATGGATTAATTATACTGTAATTATAAATTAAATAAAAATTTTATTCAATATGAACACAATTCAAATAATTTTTTTTTACAAATGTATAAATTAGGAAATAATCCTAATATATGGCACTATCACAAATATTGCCAACCATCTTTAAAGTGGCACATGGACATTTGTAGTGATGTGAAGAGTGAATGCAGTCTGAAATTTAATAGTTGCATACTCAACACATGTCCAAATTACAAGCCTTACAATAAGTGTTACAAAAAGTTGACCAACTGACTACAGATGGCTAGCTTTGAAATATTGTTAATTTTGTTAAAGTGTATCATGAAGGGAACTCAAAATGCATGAAACAATGTTTAACAGAGATGATGCCATTTTAAATAATCTACAGTAAATATTCTTTTGTAATATTATTATACAATAAAATATGAGTAACATGAGCAATGACTTAATCTTTGAAAATATCAAAGATCAACCTATTATTCATAAACCAATTATATTGATTTACATTAAGTTTAATATACACTAGAAGCATTATTGAGCAAAGACAAAAATGCTGAATTGTACTTTGCATAAAAATATACATTTTTTGCAAAACTGTTAAGCAAATGCACCATTCAAAAGAAAACATATCAAATAACAAAACACTCTCTTTTAATTAAAGTTACCTTTCCATCAATTATCAATGAAAACCTACCATGAATCGAAAGAAAACTACTGGGAATAAAGATACAACAAATCTTCATGCTTCCTTTTTCATACTAACAAATGTATTTCCTTCTGACTAACCACGTATTACAATGCTCAACATTTCCAAACAAGACATTTGACCTTGAAGTTACTTAAAAAACAAAAGCAGCAATTGGAAACTATTTAAGACTACGTATATTTTTCCATGTACAGCAGATTTTATCAAATGCAATCAGATAAAGTTTGCTGCACAGGTGAAACACTGTCTAAGAGTTTCCAACTGTTGTATGTCTCTCTTTATCGACTTACTACTTGAAAACGTTCCTTTATCATATACTATTACAACTGACCTTATTTCTGGTATTTTAGCCTCTTAAATAAGAGGTGGTATTAAATAATGACAGGTATGTAAATAAGACACGTGTAGTAATAGGATATTTATAAAGAGGCTTCACTCACCTGAGTTTGTCAATCATTTAGACTGATAAAACTCGTGCAAGTGTTATTTAACCCTTTGACTGTTTCGGTCGTATATATACATCTTACAAGCCAATGTGTTTGACGTATATATACTCAAAAATTCTAGCGGCTTCAAATCAAGCAGGAGAAAGCTGGTAGGGCCCACATGTGAGAGAAAGGGTCTGTGTGGTCAGTGTGTGCAGTATCAAAAAACCCTGCAGCACAGTGCACAATGAGAAAAAACTCAGACCGTGTTTTCGGATTAAAACGCTGACTTTGAGGTGTATTTTCGTATAGTATTTATGGTTGTGTTCTGGTTTTCTTGGTCTCATTTGATAGAATGGAAAACATATTATAGAAACAGAAGTGATTTTGATTGGTTTTACTATGAAAAGGCTTGAAATGGGGCTCAAAGTGGCAGAAATGTTTGATTTCTGCAGATGTTCAAGAGTAAACAAATGATGTCATTGTCCAATAAATGTCCAACTAGCCATTCTAATACGCAGTAATGAATGGGTTGACGTTATTTAAACAATGATTACAATATTGCAGTAGTCTGCATAACAATAAATCTTCTATTTTTTATGTGAACAAAAATTCAAAATAGAAAGCAAGAGTATTATAAAAGGGGCCTGCAGACATGACTGATGAACAGAGAAAATGTTATTTTAGTGCCAGGAATGCCTGCATTGTTCATTCTGGACCCTATTTTGAAATTGACACATTTTTTAATTTGCATGAAATTGGCCAAATTGCCAATTTCTGACCACTTTACTGGGTACTTGAAATCGGTAAATGGGTGGTTTCTTGTACTCAATTAGTAGAACAAATAGAGTTCTAAGGAAACAGTTATGAGTTTGGTCAAGTGGAACAATGGAATTCGCCAAAAACAGGGATCAAAGTGGGCAAAATCACCGATGTGTAAATGTTGCTAGCTTCGTGAGAGCGTAATTCCGTAAGTTTTCCATCAAATTTCGTACTTTTGGTGTCATTATCATCGGGAAAAGATTCTCTATCTTTCCAAAAGAAAAAAAAATTTTTTTTTTTTTTTTTTCAAATATTTTGTGACACCAGGAGACACTTCAGGATTAGAGGCTGCGACAGTCAAAGGGTTAATGGAGTATATTTTTCTTCCTCCAAATAAATTATTTAGAAACAAGAACCATCTAAATCATCACACCAATGCCCAATTCAGAAGTAAATAGTTCTGTGATTTACTAAAATCAATTTCAAAAACTTTTCTGCCTTCACAGCCTGTCCATACACAAAGCTTTCTACTAACTGCTTTACCAAATGCATTAATCCTCACAACCTGATTGATCTAGCACCATTTGCAGATATCTCGAGTTCCCTCTTGAAAACCTCTAACTTGTACAGCAGTGCATGTCTTAGTAGAGACTAAAACCTGTGTTGCTGATCTCATACAATCCCCCCAAATGACACCTTTCCCCCATGAGATGTCTTTTTTTTTTTTTTACCTGCCAAAAGAACCAGTAAAAAAAAAGAAACTCATGTACGTAACTGGTTTCACAGCTCAAATGACAAAAGTCTTTGTAGAACAACGAGGCAGAGATTGCCTACATAATCAATATTTTATACCTTTGCTTTTCATTGGACTTATTATTAACCTAACATTTTCTCACACAGCCTTATTTTGGTGCATTAGACCTGAAAAAACATTCATCTGTAATTATGCAATAGAGCTTCTCCTCAATTAACAACGGAGTTTCGTTCCTAAGACCAAGTTGGTAAACAAATTAGTCGCTAAGTGAGGAGCATACTATAATAATAGTGGGTTCGTGTCAACCATCTATGATATTACAGCCTCTCCTCATTTAGCAACATGGTAGCCATGGTAGCTTATTTAGTACTTGCAAGCACTAAAATGAATGGAATATTATGAAATATTTCACTGGAGCACGTGAGGGGACCTTCGCTCACTGGTAAACAATGCCAGACTGGCTGCTGCCCTGGCTCACGCCGTGGGTACGCGTCCCGGACGAACTACGACTCGCGAGTCAACCTATGAAAAGCGAGTCCATGTTTATACGAAAATACCCCTATGATTGGCGAAATTTACGATTGCCGGGAACTACGAAAAGCGGGGGACCACTGTACTCGTTTACTGACGACTCGGACTTAAGACGGGCTCTCTGACCACTATGCATACTTAACCCTTTCAGGGTCCGTCTCGTAGATCTACGGCTTCAATGTTGAGTGTCCAAACCGTAGATCTATGCCAAAATTCTAGAGCTGTCAAATTTAGCGTGAAAATGCTCATAGGCCTACATGTGAGAGAACGGGTCTGTGTGGTGGGTGTGCGCCATAAACAAAAAAATCTAGGCGCCGACATAGCATTGTGGGAATGCTGGCTCAGTTACCCTTGTTCACCATGCCTCGTCTCAAGGCAGCTCTCACTCCAAGGAAAATTGGGACTCTCCTGTTCCTATCTGATAGCTCTGACAGTGATGGAAGTGGAAATTAAGACGACTTCTTTGGCATTGATCAGTTAGTGACCGAAAGGAATGACCAGGATATCGAAATAGTGCAGAAAACCCTGACGATCCTCAACCTTCTACCTTTGGTGTGGGCACTCGTCAGTCACGGTCGGTTGTACCTCAACGCAAGAGAAAACTATTATTTTCGCGTGGCCAGGCCTCTGACTTCAGTAATGATGATGATAGTGGCGTGGATTGTGATTTTATTGCTCTTGACGATCATTCGAGTAGTGAGAGTGAGGAAACATATTCACCAGTGAAGCGTCGGTATGTGTGCTGCCGCATGCGCTCAGGCATTGTACCCTATGCCGTGCCCAGGAGAAGGAGTACATCATTGACAAGTATGAAAGTGGAGTGCGTGTCTCCGAGCTGGCCAGGTTGTATAATAAACCCCAATCAACCATCGCTACTATTGTGGGCAACAAAACAGCAATCAAGGAAGCTGTTCTTGCCAAAGGTTCAACTGTGTTTTTGAAACAGAGATCGCAAGTGATGGAAGATGTTGAGAGACTCTTATTGGTATGGATAAATGAAAAACAGATAGCAGGAGATAGCATCTCTCAAGTGATCATAAGTGAAAAGGTTAGGAAGTTGCATCAGGATTTAATTAAAAAAATGCCTGCAACTAGTGATGATGTGAGTGAATTTAAGGCCAGCAAAGGTTGGTTTGAGAGATTTAAGAAGCGTAGTGGCATACATAGTGTGATAAGGCATGGTGAGGCTGCCAGTTCGGACCACAAAGCAGCTGAAAAATATGTGCAGGAATTCGAAGAGTACATAGACAGTGAAGGACTGAAACCTGAACAAGTGTTTAATTGTGATGAAATAGGCCTGTTTTGGAAGAAAATGCCAAGCAGGACCTACATTACTCAGGAGGAAAAGGCACTCCCAGGACATAAGCCTATGAAAGACAGGCTTACTCTGTTGATGTGTTCCAATGCTAGTGGTGATTGCAAAGTGAAGCCTTTATTAGTGTATCACTCAGAAACTCCCAGAGCGTTCAGGCAAAAGAATATCCTCAAGGCTAATTTGTGTGTGCTGTGGAGGGCAAACAGTAAGGCATCTGGAGTTTATCTGGAGAGAGTTCCGGGGGGTCAACGCCCCCGCGGCCCGGTCTGTGACCAGGCCTCCTTAGGTCAGTGTCCCAGGATGCGACCCACACCAGTCGACTAACACCCAGGTACCCATTTTACTGATGGGGAACATAGACAACAGGTGGAAAGAAACACGTCCAATGTTTCTACTCTGGCTGGGAATCGAACCCAGGCCCTCACCGTGTGAAGCGAGAGCGTTAACCACCAGGCCACTAGAGCATGGGTCACTAGGGACTTTCTCTATGACTGGTTACACCATGCATTTGCCCCCAATGTGAAAGATTACCTAACTGAAAAGAAATTAGACCTTAAGTGCCTCCTGGTGTTAGACAATGCCCCTGGTCATCCTACAGACGTGGCAGAGCGACTTTATGGGGACATGAGCTTCATTAAGGTAAAGTTTTTGCCTTCTAATACCACTCCTCTCCTGCAGCCCATGGACCAGCAGGTTATTGCAAACTTCAAAAAACTGTACACAAAAGCTCTGTTTGAAAGGTGCTTTGTAGTGACCTCAGAAACTCAACTGACTCTAAGAGAGTTTTGGAGAGAGCACTTTAATATCCTCAATTGTGTAAACCTTATAGGTAAGGCTTGGGAGGGAGTGACTAAGAGGACCTTGAGCTCTGCTTGTAAGAAACTGTGGCCAGAATGTGTAGACCAAAGGGATTTTGAAGGGTTTCAGGCTAACCCTGAGAGGAGTATGCCAGTTGAGGAATCCATTGTGGCATTGGGAAAGTCCTTGGGGTTGGAGGTTAGTGGGGATGATGTGGAAGAGTTGGTGGAGGAGGACAATGAAGAACTAACCACTGATGAGCTGCTAGATCAACTTCAACAGCAAGAGGCCAGACCTGAGGAAACTGGTTCAGAGGAGGGGAGAGAGAAATTGAAGAAGTTGCCTAATACAAAGATTAAGGAAATCTGTGCAATGTGGCTGAAAGTGCAAACCTTTATGGATGAAAATCATCCTCACACAGCTATTGCAAGCAGTGCTGGTGACTATTACACTGACAATGTTGTGAAACACTTTAGGGAAGTCATAAAGGAACGAGAGGTACAGGCCACTATGGACAGATATGTTGTGCGACAGAAGTCCAGTGACTCTGAAGCTGGTCCTAGTGGCATTAAAAGAAGAAGGGAAGTAACCCCAGAAAAGGACTTGACACCTCAGGTCTTAATGGAAGGGGATTCCCCTTCTAAACACTAAGACTCTCTCCTCCTCCCATCCCATCAATCATCACCAGATCTTCAATAAAGGTAAGTGTCATGTAATTGTGCATGCCTTTTTCAGTTTGTGTGTATTAAAATTAATATTTCATGTGGTAAAAATTTTTTTTTTCATACTTTGGGGTGTCTTGCACGGATTAATTTGATTTCCATTATTTCTTATGGGGAAAATTCATTCGCATAACAATGAGCTCTCAGGAACGGATTAATATCGTTATGCGGGGGTCCACTGTAGTATGCTCCTCACTTAGTGACAAATTCATTTACCAACATGGTCATAGGAGAAGCTGTTTTAACCCTTTCATTGTCAGTTCCGTTGTACTACAGCTTGAGAGCCAGTGTCAGTCCCATACTACTACGCCAAAATTCCAGCACCTTTAAATCTAGTGGGAGAAAGCTGGTAGGCCTACACGTGAGAGAATGGGAATGCGTGGTCAGTGTGCGAAGCATGAAAAAAACTGGGGCAACCGCATTCCATTGTGGGAACGCCATTTCAGTACGCCTTGTTTACCATGCCTCACGGTAAGAAACTCCTCACTCCCCGGTGAATTGGGACTCTTTTGTTCCCAAGTGATAGTTCAAACACAGATAAAAGTGTCAGTGAAAGTGAATTTCAAGGTTTCCAGGAGTTTGTAACAAAAAAGTAATGCCCAAGATATCGATAACAGTGATGAAAACCCAGACGACCCTCAACCTTGAACCTCTGGTGCTGGGCTGTCTTGTTCACGTTCAGTTGTACCAGAATGAAAGAGGAAACTCATATTTTCCCATGTCCAGGACACAGATGTGAGCATTGATGATGATAGTGATAGTGATTATGATATCCAAGCTCTTGAATACAGTTTCAGTAGCGAGAGTGAAGTGGAATATTCTCCAGTGAAGTGTCAGTATATACAACACTACATGCATTCTGGTAGTTTGCCATATGCTATTCCAAGGGGAAGGAGTAAATCTCGGAGTACATCCCATGGTTGTACAACAGGAACAGATAGTGAAAATGACTATGATATTGTTACAAATGGGATGGATAATGTGTATGCATCATCAGATGGTGGCAGTGTCATGCACCATGAGGCACCAGCAGCGGCCCATGCTGGTAGCCACACCGCTGACTCAGCACAGCTACAACAAAGGCCACTCTCACTCACCTACTCACCACACCAACCTGCACAACCACAACCTTCACAACCACAACCACCTGTCAATATCCAGTACCCACCAGTAGACTGCATCTGGGATTGGCATCAAGGTGCCAATTTTGTTCCCAATCTCCATCCCTTTCATGAAACTCAAAGTGGAATATGGCCATCTTGTACACTTGGGAACAATGCCACTGAACCAGAATGTTTTAAATTATTCTTTGATGAACCCGATTGAAATTATTATTAGGGAAAGTAACACATATTTCGAGTACATTATGGCAAACACAATTATCTCACCAAGATCACACCTACACCAGTGGAAGGAAACAACTGTGGCACAATAATGCTTATGCCACGTATGTATGAGCACAGTGTCAAATCATACTGGTCGACAGACCGCCTGATTTCAACCCCAGCTTTCAGTGATATAATACCAATGAATCAATTTCTGCTACTACTACGTATGCTACACTTCTCAGACAAAACCAGGCCTGACAGAAACAGCAGGTTATATAAGATTAGGAATGTGTTTACGTATCTGAAATAAATTCTCTAAGTATTTTTATCCCTTCAGGAAGCATGTTATTAATGAGTCTTTGATTTTGTTCAAAGGTAGACTGTTGTTCAAGCATTATATACTTTGTGATTGCTACAGTGGTCTTGTATTGGATATTACTGTGTACACTTGAAGCAATACATTGCAAGATATGACGAAGTTATTGGGTATCTCTGGTGATGTGGTTAGAACAATAATGGAACCATATCTTGGTAAGGGGCATACATTATAAACGTACTGATAACTGGTACACAAGCCCCTTACTCAGTGATTTTTTGCAAGTGAACATGACAGTGCGTGCAAATCGTAAGCATGTGCCTAGGTTCGACACAGGCACTCGTAGAGGCGAGGTGCAGGCATCTGCTGCCAATGACATCATGGCATTTTGGTGGCATGACAAATGAGATGTCACAAGACAAGACAGTGGTAGGCAGAATAAAGAGACAAATGAACCCATTCTAAAACCTGCAGCGTTCAGTGGACAAATGTGACATGCAAATTGGGTTTGCTGATTGTGTTTGCAAGAGTTACAAGTGGTACATGAAACTCTTTTTCCATCTTCTGGACATTTTCATGCTCAATGCTTATATGTGATATGTATAAGATGAGGACCAGAAACAAGCCACCATATGGTGAATTTTGTTTGTCTGTCATCAGACAAATATTATTCAAGTACCAAGTTACAACACCTGCAATAAAAAACCGCCTACAAACTGATCACCTCTCGTCTGAGGCCTGGTGATTACTACCTAATACAAGTGCCTCCTACTAACAAGAAATATGCTCAGAAGAGGTGTTTTGTCTGTGCACACAAAAAAATGCCCACAAAAATGCAGAGACACTTGTTTTATGTGTGAGGAGTGTAAAACACCACAGTGCATGAAACCATGTTTCAAAGAGTTCCACAAGCTGCAGCACTTCAAGGAACATGTCCAGTGACTCTATATGTGTATAGGAAAATAGTAACAGACAACATTTTTTATTGTTGATTTGTGTAAACATGCTTTGTAAACAATATAACGATAACAATGCTTGTGTGGTTACTGTATAGCATACGAGTGAATATATATACAATATGCCTTATATTGGTCTCACAGGCCATAAAAGTTACTTGAAAAAAAATATTAAAAAATAAAAGAAAAAAATTAGGATAAAAGTAAATATAATACAGTGGACCCCCGCATAACGATCACCTCCGAATGCAACCAATTATGTAAGTGTATTTATGTAAGTGCGTTTGTATGTGTATGTTTGGGGGTCTGAAATGGACTAATCTACTTCACAATATTCCTTATGGGAACAAATTCGGTTAGTACTGGCACTTGAACGTACTTCTGGAGTGAAAAAATATCGTTAACCGGGGGTCCACTGTATTACCGAGAGACCGGCAGTCGGCGATGTTACTGTAAGCAGTTCATTGTCAACTTCACACCTCTATATCTCGGTAAGTACTGATCTCAGTTTTTTTTTTATAACACTCAGAAAATTATTCTTAAGATTTTGGTAAGAATTTTTTTTTTTCGAATATCTTTCGACAGTTAAGGATTAACCCTTTAACTGTCCAGATATAGATCTACGTTAGTACCGCCATCACTCCAAACGTAGATCTACGTTTTATTTTTCCTGCCTCCAAATTTGGCACAACTGGCCTGAGATGCCTGGTTACTATAGACTGGGTCTTAACGCTCAGTGTGCACAGTATTAAAAATATCTGGGACCACTTAGTACTTTGTGGGAGCAATTCAATTGAGCGCCAGCTAGAGCAAATAGCATGGCAAACACCAGAGACTCACTAATGTCATGTCATATTAAAACTTCCCTATTAAGAGGAAAGTGATGGTGATCCAAAGTTGAGTGGCTTTGAGATGGATGTGGCCACAAGTGATCGAGGAAATATTAAAAACCTTGATAAAAACCCATGTCCAACATTTGTTCAACATCCTTTCATTTTTTATACCACTGGTAGTGTCATCCTGCCAGAATGTCCTACAACCTATGCCCTAAGTAAAGAGAAACGATTCTGGAACATGTGTAATACGTATTCGTCAGGCAGGCTGGCTGGCTGAATGACTTTGGCTGTCTCTCCATCTCTATCTGTCTGTCTATCCCTGTCTCTGTCTGACTGTCTCTGTCTCTCTCTCCCACAGGTACACATAAGTACAGTTATCATACATAGTGTAAATTACCTAGGATAACTGAAAAAATCCAGTGCTATACACTGTGCTTGTAGATATAAGGCATAATAAGCATGACTGCCAAGTAATACGCATGTTCACTTGATCAGGAATCAGACTTGACTGTATCGTGTGTAATAACTGTTGGTTCATGAGCTGCTCTCTGAGACAGAGTGACAAGCAGACAAAGACAGACACACAGGCAGACAGAAAGACACACACACACAGGCAGACAGGAAGACACACACACACACACACAGGCAGACAGGAAGACACACACACATGCAGACAGAAAGACACACACACACTCAGGCAGACAGAAAGACAGACACACACATGCAGACAGAAAGACACACACACACACAGGCAGACAGAAAGACAAGAGATGCATAGGCAGACAGACAAGAGACACATAGACAGACATGTTTATGTGTAACAGTGAAAACAAACAAAGCCAAGAGTTCCCTGCAGCAATACACAATCATCAGGTGTCAGCAGTTTTATGACACTCATCTTAACACCATGCTTCAAGGAGTTTCATATATACTCCAGTATGTCTAAAACATTGCTGGGACCTATAAATACTTTGTATATATTTCTAGACAATAGTAAATGACCAGGGCAGGTGAAAATGTTCACCTGTCAGTATGTTTGTGACTATTTGAGTACAATTTCAGTACCTAATATTAGTGTCAGAACAAAGATTAGCTATGAAATCACAAGAGCTACTATAAATTGTAATTATCAGAACATAAAAATTACATGAAATAATATAAAAATGAGAAAAAAAAAAGGTACATCGGCAACACTTCTGCAAGCAGCAGGACTCCATATAGCCGTCAGGTAAGCATCCAGCGCCAATTTCACGGGCTTATATCTTGGTAAGTACTGATCCTAATTTTGTAGAATAATGCCCTCTTCGTTTAAAAATATTCAAAATATTCGGAGCACTGGGTGAGTGAACGCAGATCTACGTTTGGACAATTATGGGGTTAAGGGTCGCGACACTGAAAGGGTTAATGTCACTTCTGCACCATTTATAACATTTCTGATATATTTTTAAATGTTTATACAGTAGCATACTGTATATTGTAATAAATAGAATAGAGGAAATCAACTCTAATATACATTAGGTATGCCAACTGGTCAGAGAGCCTGTCCTAAGTCCAAGTCGTCGGTAAGCGAGTACGTCGCTAAATGAGGAGAGGCTGTATTTACACCTTACTTTGATTATACGTACAGTGGTACCTCGGGATACGAACAGCTCCCAACTCGAACAATTATGTAAGTGTATTTATGTAAGTGCTTTTGTAAGTGTATTTTTTCGGGGTCTGAAATGAATTAATCTAATTTACATTATTCCTAATGGGAACAAATTCCTTTAGTATCAGCATGTGAACAGCCTTCTGGAACGAATTAAGATCGTATACTGAGGTACCACTATATACCGTAAAGTATAAACATAATAATATAGGAAATTAAAAAAATCTCTACATAATTCCTTGTCAGTTATTAAAAATATGAAAGTCAAGAATTATACACAAGAGGGTACAGGTGCCCTGAAGAGCATCAATGGTGTGGAACCCTTTAAATTTTGGTAATCAACCCTACTGCTTATATTTTCTAATATGGAAGCATTTGCTTTCTCACACTTTTCTGAGGTTCATGTCATTTTAATTCTTATTTTTCACAACAAACACTTCCTAATTCTTTCTAAATGTGGGGGGATCCACTGACCCCCACCAAGGCAATTTTGGTACAGACATTATATTAAAAAAAAAATCCTAAAACCAAGTGGGTTATTCAGTACTGCACTAGGAATGAGGGTGCTTCCTTGAGGGATTAAAGAGTGGAAGCTTATTACGAGAGCAAAATGCGAGTTACAGTTAGTGAAATTGGTAAATTCAATTACTATGTCATCAAGTGTATGTACACTAATGGTGGTATTTTCAGACAGAAGGCTAATTAAGAGAACATAAAGGCACTGCAATAAAGTCCATATACTCATAAAAGATAGGAGTTGATTAATAAAAGCTGCAGTGGTGAAGGCTAACACAAAACTGTCACATCCACTTCTATGTCCATTACAAGAAAGGGGGCACTACCCTGTGAAAACCTAACAGCTCGAAACATGCTGCATTTTGTCCTATTTATCAATCAGATACAGTGATAAACAAATATGTACAGTAAAATTTATTTGTTCTAAGGTACCCTTAACCCTTTCAGGGTTTCCGACGTACTAGTACGTACAGCTTACGCACCAGGGTTATTGACATACTAGAACGCCTAAATTCTAGCACCTTCAAATCTAGTGAGAGAAAGCTGGTAGGCCTACATATGAAAGAATGGGTGTATGTGGTCAGTGTGCGCAGTATAGCAGCACACAGTGCATAATGAGAAAAAAAAAAAAACACCGTGTTTTTGGTTTAAAACAGCAACTTTGTAGTGTATTTTCATATGGTATTTATGGATGTATTTTAGTTTTCCTGGTCTCATTTTATAGAATGGAAGACATATTACAGAAATTGAGATGATTTTGATTGGTTTCATAATGAAAAGTACCTTGAAATTGAGCTTAAATTAGCAGAAATGTTCGATTTTTACCAAAGTTCAAAAGTAAACAAATCATGCCAAGCGTCCAATACACGTCAACTGGCGAGTCTAATATTCTTTCACAAGTGTGCTGACATTATTTATACACTAATGCAGTAGTCTGCATAACAGTAAATCTTCTATTTTTTGTGAGAATAAAAATTCAAAGTGGGAAGCAAAAGAGATGTAAGAGAGGCCTGGGGACGTGACTAATGAACAGAGAAAATGTTATTTTAGTGCCAGGAATGTCTTTCTTGTTTATTCTGGACCCTATTTGGAAATTGGCATCTTCTGAAAATGTGAAATTGGCAAAATTGCCAATTTCTGACCACTTTATTGGGTAGTTGAAATTGCTAAATGGGTGGTTTCTTGTACTCATTCGATAGACAAAATGGAGTTCTAGCAAAATAGATATGATTTTTGCCGACTAGTACACAGGAATTGGCCGAAAATTGGGCTCAAAATGGGTGAAATCGCTGATGCGTAAATATCTTTGAGACCGCTAACTTCGCGAGAACATAATTCTGTAAGTTTTCCATCAAATTTCATACTTTTGGTGTCATTATGATTGGGAAAAGATTCTCTATCATTTCAAAAGAAAAAATAATTTTTTTTTTTTCGCCCGAAAAGTTTTGACTCTGAGAACGAGTTTAGGAGAGGGCCTCTCGACACTGAAAGGGTTAAGCACCCTCTCAAGGACATGGAATCCTACTGCAACTTATCTATACTTTCTAACAATGTACTGATCTGCTACTGTTATTCATGTTGTACTCACAGTTATAGGGGTTCCAGACTATCAGCAAGCGAGATTTTTCTTCCGATTACAGTGTGTTTTAAGGTCCTATTAACCACAACTTTGTTTTGCCTTGCTGTACTGACCAACAAATAAAAAAGTGGAACAACAACAGAATATACTTTACATATACCTTACTGTAAACAGTGCATAATACATCCGCAATATCTTTCAAGTTAGGGTCAATGCAACTCACCGATAAATTATGAATTTGTTTGCCTATTAGAGAAAAGTAGTGAGTGATAACACAAAAAATATCTTTAAAAATCCTATACAGTCTCTCCTCACTTAACGATGGAGTTCTGTTCCTGAGAACACATCGTTAAACGAATTCGTCGCGCTAAGTGAGGAGCATACTATATATAATGGTAGTGAGTTTGTGAAAACCATCTTTGATTGTTTTAATGTCACCTTTGCACCATTTGTAACATTTCTGGTATATTTTTCACAGAAGAGAGGAAATCAGCTCTAATATACATTATGTATTCAGATATGAACATTGGTCAGAGAGCCCGTCGTAAGTCTGAGGCATTGGTAAACGAGTATGTTGCTAAGTGAGGAGAGGCTGTACTGCCCTCAGTAGAACCAATAAACAAAAACTATGCCTTTTAAAAATAAAAAATTATACAAAGGTTAAACTGATCAACAAAACCACAGTACACCCTGCAACTTTGAAGGTCAACACAAAATTAAATGGTTTCTTACGCTATCAAATTTACATCGTTATAAGTTGCTAATGGAGTGCCAAATTTTTTTTCACATTAAATCAATCATAATCACAGAGAAAAACTAGTCAAAGCTGATTCTTTTTCACATTCGACATTTTATATGCATAATTTGTCAAGGGTTATTAGTTCCAAGTGTCAGCAAATTTAAATGAAAAGTGAAATACCCCTGCCATTTATGCTGAGATGCTGGGTTCTTAGTCATGCAAGCACCCTGTGGGAAGAGTGGCATCCCCTCCCAGAGAAGAGGCTCCCTATCCCTAGGCACTAATCACTCAAACCTCACGACTACATAATGGTGACCCAACATCAGGACATTGAAGAACAATGAATAAATGTACTATACAAAAATAGTAAGATTAACTATCGGAATTTTTCAACTTCAGGTTCATTTCATCCTACTGAAAAAAAATCAAACCTAATAAACTGCTCCATTATTGCAAAAAATATTATTGGAAATGTTTATCACAACGGGATTCTAACTCAACTGAGTGTTTAGCAAACAAGAAAGCCTTTTACTTTACTCAAAAAATATATGACAAGTGATACTGAATTTGGTGTACAAATCAAAATGAAGAAAGACAACTTAACAAATTGTCAAAAAATTAATCCTAGATTACTGAAACTGTTAGTTAAAAATTATAAGAGGTTTAGGAAAATAGATTTTTTCGTATGTGAGTATTGATATGAGTGCGCAGGTTTCCTTTCTGAGTAAATCGGAGACAACAATGAGGGCAAGGAAATGGCTTCTCTTTTGTGTGAACGCGGATGTGACTGGTCATGTGTGTTTTCTTCTTAGTGGAGTAGGCACAGTAGGGGCAATGATGCATCTTGACAGTGGCGGTGAAGCCCTCCCTTGCTCCTGCTACTCTTCTACTGCCAGAGAACACCTGTAGGGGACGACGCCCATCTTAGTAGAGCTATAATGGCGTTTCTTGGATGCATTCAAAGCTTCATAAGTGCCTTAGTAAATAATTTTGGCTACAGCAGCCTGTAAGGACCACAAAACCCTGGTTTCCCTTTAGAATGAAGATCTTTTCATATTGACTCATGCTTTACATAACCAGCATTTCAAACAGTATAACTTTGACTACTGACCATTCTATCAGTCAATTAGTAACACAAAAGGCCCTGTTATATAGGCTTTTACAGATTAAATCATTATACAAGAAATTTTAGTTTAAAAGCAACGAACATGTTAAACTTAACAGTAATATTTTTTTTTTTTTACCTCAATGGCCATCTCCCACCAGAGCAGTGACCCAAAAAATAATCCAGTATATTAATATTTTCTGTCTGTAATTAATATAGAATTCTGATGTGTACATCTCTTCTTGAAAAGACGGCTATAAAGAATTTCCATTAAACACACTTTCAAAGACTGTACAATGTGAAGAGAATTTTTGTATGTATTTGTGTGTAGAACAAATAAGATAAAAAAAAAAAGCTGCCTAGATGTAAATTATGTTTTTTATCAGACAAAAAAAAAAATACAAATTCTGCAAATATATTTAACCCTTAACCTTTGACTGTCGAAACCCCTAATCCTGAAGTGTCTCCTGGTGTCGAAAAATATTTTTCGAATATGAAAATGTTAAGATTATTTTTCTGACTGTTTTAGTCCAAAAATTTTTTTTGCCATCATTACTTACCAAGATATAGAGGTGTGAAGTTGGTAGAAAATGAGCCACTTATGGCAACAGTGGTGACTGCTCACCCTGTAAACTTTGGTTTACTTGTATTGGAAGGTTTCTTGTTTTTTTTTTTTTTTTCACTATTTTATTTTTTCACATAACTTATGTGGCCTGTGAGACCAAAGTATGGTGCAATGCACATATATACACTCGTTGTATACAACACAATAAGTACACAAACATAATTATCAACATATTTACAAAACTTGTATTGTTCTATAATATATATACAAATGTACAGTCACTGGACATGTTATTAGAAGTTCTGCAGCTTGTGGAACTCTTTGAAACATGGTGTCATACACAATGGTCTTTTACACTTCTCACACATAAAATAAGTGTCTCTGAGTTTTTGTGGGTGTTTTTTTGTATGTGCATAGACAAAATACCTTGTCTGAGCAGTTTTCTTCATAGTAGTAGTAGACAGTTGTGTTAGGTAGTTATCCTAGGTAAATGTGTCATCATTCCTTCCTACCTACATTCCCTTGTCTTCATTCTTTCATTCCTTCTGGCTTCTATAATATATATACACATAGTCACTGGACACTTTCGTATAACTGCTATTATCTTCAGCAAGTGTGTTGTGTGTGTGTGTAGACTTGTAAATGTGCCAAGTCACAAGTCGCCCTCGGCAGCTGTCAAAAATGACATATTGTCTCATTACTCACTCCCCCTACCGCCTGTCAAAACAATGGGGTTGGATGCTGCTTCCCCTCCATCCTACTATCTAATTATTTTTATTCTCCCTCATTCTTCTTCATTCTCCATTCTCTTTCATTCTTCATTCTCCTTCATTCTTCATTCTCCTTCATTCTTCATTCTCCTTCATTCTTCATTCTCTTTCATTCTTCATTCTCCATTTTTTCTGGTATCCTGGGCAATGGTTTTGGTCACAAACTCCTCAAAACCATGAAACTGATCTTCACAGACACTTCCATCTGTGTTAGAGCATCACTTGGGATATTTCTTACCTCTAGGCATGATGAACAAGGGCTACTGAAATGGCATTCCCACAATGCACCACTGGCTCCCCGATTTTTTTTATATGGTGCACACTGACCATGGAGACCCATTCTCTCACATGTGGGCCTACCAGCTTTCTCCTTCTTGATTTGAAGCTGCTAGAATTTTTGAGTATATACATGTATACCTCAAACACGGTGGCTCGTAAGACATATATATACGTATATATATATGACCAAAACAATCAAGGGGTTAAACTGTCCAAACGTAGATCTACGTTTGCACTGCTACTGCTCCAAACGTAGATCTACGTTTTATTTTTCCTGCCTCCAAATTTGGCATGACTGGGCTGAGATGCCTGGCAAGTATAGAAAGGGTTTTAACACACAGTGTGAGCAGTATTAAAAAAATGTTGGACCACTTAGTACCTTGTTAAAGCACCAGTAAAATTGAGCACCATATAGAGCTAATATCGTGGCAAACACCAAGGATTCACTGATGTCATGTCATATTAACACTCCCCTTGTAAGAGGATCGTTATGGATGTGGCCACAAGTGATTGAGGAAATATCAAAAACCTCTATAATAAACCATGTTTAACATCTGTGCAACTTCCCTTCATTTTTGATATCATAGCTATCTATCTGTCTGTATCTCTGTATCTTTAATTGTCTATATCTCTGTCTATATCTCTTTCACATGTACACATAAGTACAGTTATTATACATAGTGTAAATTACCTAGGATAACCCAAAAACTCCAGGCAAAGTTCTCTACTGCATCGTGTGTAATACCTGTTGACAAGCCACTCTAAGACTGAGAGACAAGCTGACAGAAAGACACACACACACTCAGACAACGACACACACACACAAGTAGACAGAAAGGCAGAGACACACAAGCAGACAAAGACCGAGACACATAGGCAGACAGAAAGACAGACACACACAGGCAGACAAAAAGATACACACACACAGGCAGACTGAGAGACACAGGCAGACAGAAAGATAAGGAGAGATACAGATAGACAGACAGATAGACAAACAGACATACATGTTTGTGTGCAACAGTGTAAACAAATAAAGCCAGGGTTCCTTGCAGCAGGGCATTATCATTGTGTCACTCCACTGCTTACCCTGTCGGCAGTTTAGCGACATTCATCATAAACACCATACTTCAAGAAGATTCATATATACTCCAGCATGTCTATAACATTGCTGAGACTTATAAATACTTTATATATATTTCTAGGCAATAGTAAATGACCATGGCAGGTAAAAATGTACACCTGCTTGTGTGATTATGACTATTTGAGTACTATTTCAGTACAGTAGGGCCCCACTTTATGGTGTTCTGCAAATACGGCGATTTCAAATTATGACCAAAATTTGCTATACAGCAAGTGTTCTTCGTGAGCACATTTATTATGTCTGGAAACTTTCCAAAATTTCAAGTGTTTTAAAGTTACTGCATATTTTACATGTACTCTCATAATTATGCTTATGTGTACCTGTACCTGTACCTAAATATACTTACACACTGTGCTCTGGCATGTAGGTACACATTAAAATCACTAAGAGTCTCTCTACTCATAATGCCATAGTAATACTATGTAACAATAATCTCTCTTGGGCACATTAAATGCCTTATTTTACATTAATAAAGACATTTTCATTAGTCCATCTATGATATTTTCTTCAAAATTATATAAGAAACATGTTACAGAGCATATAAACACTATACATACACCCACAGAATAAAAATTGACATAAATATGAGATTTGTTTACAAAGCGGTAATTCACGACCCTTGTGGATTTAGTGCTTCTTTTTATTTTTTATTATTATCACACTGGCTGATTCCCACCAAGGCAGGGTGGCCCGAAAAAGAAAAACTTTCACCATCATTCACTCCATCACTGTCTTGCCAGAAGGGTGCTTTACACTACAGTTTTTGAACTGCAACATTAACACCCCTCCTTGTAATAATAATTTTTTAATAATAATTTGTAATACTAATAATAATTTGTCAGAGCATCATTCCTTCTAAAAATTACATGAGAATGGAAGTGTTGGTCTTTATTTATTCTACTGTACCACAGTGGAGACAACTTGTACACAATGTAAGGTGTTTGCACGAATGTTTATGAACCATAACCAGACGCATCCTCTGTTTGTTTACATAGTGGGTGGGGTGGCCAGGCTGGTTTCTCTACACTACCCTACCTACCACACCACTTTCTACAAATAAATACTTTTCACCTTTCACCCTACATTAAGACTACAAATATTTTAAGGTAAGTAATGAATGTACTGTATGTGTATTTTATCACTATTTAAGCATCGTCGTAGTATATTATGTGTGGGTGGGGGTGGCCAGGAGGGCTACCACACCTAACTTCTTGCCCTACATTAAGACTACGAATATTTTGAGGTAAATAATGAGTGTACTGTGTGTGTATTTTACTTTTTTTGTTTTTTAATGCCTAAGTTCTATTGTTACTTAATATATGTTAGTGTAAACTTGTCATCTGGCATTTACATATATATATGTACATTTATAAGTGGAAAAAATGGCGTTCTGCTTTCCGGCAGTAGCCTGGAACCTAACCTGCCATAAAAGCGGGGCCCTACTGTACCTAATATTAGTGTCAGAACAAAGATTGGCTATGAAATCACAAGAACTATTATAAATTGTAATTATCAGGACATAAAAATTATATAAATTAAAATAAAAACGAGAAAAAAGATATATCAACAACACTTCTGCAAGCGGCAGGACTCCATGTTGCTGTCAGGTGAGCATTCAGCACCAACTTTGCTGTTTTATATCTCAGTAAGAATTAGTCCTAAAAAAATTTGTTCTTTTTTGGTCTTATAACACACAGAAAATTGCCCTCTTTAATTTAATTACAAAAAAAATATATTTTTTTCATTTTTCAAAATATTCGAAGCAGTGGCAGTGAAAACGTAGATCAACGTTTGGACAGTTTAAGGGTTAAGCATGTATTTACAGTAACATTCAATTACTATATTATCACTGGTAATGAAATAAAAATTCTAAATGGGTACAGGTTAACTTCACATTTTTCTACATGCTTCTGCATTTTATTCCTGTACATCTATACAAGCACTTCCAATGAGCAAATGAGCATAGAGTATTTCCAGCAACTGATGGCTAGGTATTCTTTTCATCCATTTTTTTTTTTTTTTTTGCTTTACAGGCACCAAACT